TGAACAATAGAGTAAATGATCATAACTTGCTCAATAAAACTTCAATTGATGAGAGGTTTGAATCTTTAGAAACTAGATAGACAGGGCTTTAATTTGATATATATACGCTTAATTGGATAACTTAGACCCACTGCCAAACCATTCATTTTATCATCACACACATTTCGGTTTATATTGAAGAGTCAGTAGTAAATTGATTATAACTTGCTCAATAAAAATCCAATTATGAGCGGTTTGAATCTTTAGAAAATAGATAGACAATGCTTTAATTTGATATATTATACGCTAATTTTGACAACTGTAGCCCAACTACTAACCATCCGTTTTATCATCTCATATATTGTTGTTTTTGGATTTCCACGAACAGTTAGTAGTAAATTAGTCATAACTTGCTCAATAAAAATCCAATTGATGAGCAATTGAATCTTTGGAAACTAGAAAGATAGAGCTTTAATTATACGATGGATTTAGATAACTATAGACCATTCATTTTATCATCACACATATAAAACAAATCAATTTTAGTGATGACAATGAAAAACAATTTTGATATGTAGTTTTAATATATTTGTTCTATCTTGTTTTGTTTATTTTGGATTGATTTTGTTGTTTTATTGTGGGTATGAGTTTTACCATTATCGTCTTTCTTTATGATGCTATCACAATACTTTTTTTGCTATGCGGTGGTCAATTTAATGCAGCAAATGAATTTGTGCACAAGACCTTTATCTACGGACCTCTTCAATGCTTCAATTAGGTTACCTTCATATTATACTGTTGGAGTTGTTGTGCTTTTTATGTGAGTTATCTTCTCAACATTTTTAATTTTTTTTATTTCTAAAATAATAATAATAAAAATAATTCATTTTGCTTCTTAACAATCAAAATCAATTTTTTCTTTGGCTCTGCAAGTCTCTTACTTAAAAGTTTATATTTTCAAAAAAGTTTCTCTTTCTCTGATTGACTTATTGACTTATTAATAATACCCAATGCGTTATCCTACAATTTTTTTTGCTTTTCTTAACAAGTTTTAAACTTTGGTTTCAAATGTCAAATGGTAAACTATTGAGAAGAACCATGATGATATAGACTTCAATTAAATTGTGGATATTTTAGTTATTAATTTTTCAATTATCAATTCGATATAAAATGAATTTCAATACAGAAAATATTACTTAAAACACAAAAAAAATTAATAATAATATAAAAAAATATAATAAACATACCCGCGTAATGTACGGGCTTCTGATCTAGTTATATTATATAACCCAAAACAAAGAGGATCAATAGGGTAAACGTAGCCTCTTTGCTATTTTCACAACAAAATTCCCCCAAAAAATAATATACAATTCATTTGCTTGAATTAAATTCTACGAGAAAATTTAATTTATATATGAAATTAGTACATCAAGTTTTATTATTATTTTTTCCTCGTCTATCACACAACGACCCACTAAAAAAAAAAAAAAAATCGCGTACTTATAACGATGTACTCGTATTTAAACTTTTCAAGCGTTAACAGCTTCTATTATGCTATTTGAATGCCGAAGTGAGTGTACGTAGTATTTCTTTTTACAAAGTACAAATATGCCTTAATGGGCCTTGATCCAGATTCTTTGACAAAATATCTTATTAGACAACAGTTTTTCATATGGGGACGCATTATGTGTCACATTATATCATGTCATTTTAATTCATACTTTAAATAAGTGTCTTTTTCAAACATATATTAAGGAATTATATTATAATTAATATTTGTATTATAATGATTTGAAATGTAACCACCCATTTAAAGTTTTGTTATAGGAATTTATTACAAGATTAATAGATATAAATTTCTAACTTAAAATTTTTGATAAAAATGATCGTAAATAATTCTTAAAATTCAATGAAATCATATCTAATTATTTCATTAAATTAATTATGGAGAATATCATTGTCAAAAGTTATACACGAGCTTCAAGGTATTGTAATTTTTAATATGTTGCCATCTTTTGATGAGTCATAAATGGGTTTGCAGGTTGAGACATCCAATTTAATCACTGGTGTTATTAAACAGATTTGTGAGTTAAGAATCCTCAACTTGGAATATGATTAGGGTAACCCTAACTCGCTTAAATCGTATCAGATTCATAAATACCATTCAAAATCATATTTTCCTTTTGTAGAAAAAATAAAAATAACATGATGAAATTGAAGTCTACTAAGAATGACACTATTATTAAATTAACCAAAGTCAGAAATGGAACCTTTCAAAAACTTAATCAATTAAAACGAAAGCCATACAATATTGATCCAAAAGGTAAAAGGCAATTAGAAAATGCAAAAGTGACTACCACATTACGCGGCTGGCAGACTCCTTATTTCGACTTTGAATAAAGCAACCAAACATATTTTCACTAATTCCGAATTTGACCCAATTCATAAAGTAACTCAATTCTTTCTCTTATTTTATTATCCAATGGTCAAATTAAACAGAAAATGCCATTTGAGAGTCGTCACTTTTTATATAGAAAAGGTTACATACAAGTGGATGGAGTTGCATGTTTTAACATTGAATAATATTATATCAATAATCATCTTTCACAAACTTTCTCTTACAACTCTAATTTGTTAGTTCTTAATTGATCAGTTCACAACGGATCCTACATGAGCCTTGTATATGTCCCACTAATTAATTATAAGCTGACCAATTGCAAGTTGTCACGCTAAGATTATTAGAGAAAGTTTTTTAAAGATAGTTGTTGATGTAGTATTATTCTTTAACATAATAATATCATTTTTAATTCATTATTTTATATTTATTCTTCCGAATAGGAACGAAGTCAACAACCGTTAGTAAACCACTACTAGTTGTCTTGATGATAGAAGAGTGAATGAGGATTTAAGTTTACATGATCTCTTTAGTTTAAGTCTCCATAACCCATAACATGGGTTGCTATTGTGTCTCTTAACCTACAGATAATTTTAAGATCAAGATTTCGAGGGATTAACTGAGGTGTGCACGAGCTAGTCGAAACACTCTCATCATATATAAGAAAAAAAAAAAAAAACCGGTTAATAGTGTAATGGTACAATTGACATTGACATTGTTCTATTACTCATGAGATGATTTATTTAATATGGTCTTGACAATAATATAAAACTAATAATATTTTAAAAGTTTTAAACTTAAAAGCACCCTTTTTGCTATTTTGTACTTATTTTTTAACAAACAAAAATATATTAGTTTGAGAAATATTTTAGCTCTCATTTTTTTAATGAATAAACAATAAACCATGAAGATCATAACTTTTTGGAGAAAACAAAAAAAAAAAAATTATGCAATTCACCGGTAGCATTTGTTTGGTCTAATGAGATTATCTATATTAATCATATAAATTAATGTATATATTTAGTTACTTTATTTTTACATTTCTAATAAATTTCATGATATTTGTGAAAGGTTTTGAGATTTTAGAGTTATTGTATTTTAGGAGGAGTAAATTTTGATGAATTTCAAACCTAATATTCTAATTATATGGAAGATGTAATTTAAATATATCTTCCATATAAATATCAATTTTACCGTAATTTGATATATTAAATTTTAATTAAAAATAGACCAACATTAATATTAATTTAAAAGGAAAAAAAAAGAAATTAAAATGTAGCCATTCTCACCTAAAATTGATGGAGACAAAATACTACCCAAAGTCACTATAAAAGGATGTGTCACAATCAAAATGTAATTAGAATTTTATGAGTTTGCTTCCCAAAAACAAATAAAAAGGAAGCACACCCACTCAGCACTTAAAGGAGCTTTCTGTCTTTTTCTTTTCTTTTGCTAATATTTTTAATTATTTCTTTTTTTAAGGTGGATTTTTTTTGTTTTTATTTTTTATTTCCTCACGAATCAATGATAGTCAAGTATTATGCATCAAGCTTTTTTGCCCAATCACCTGTGATTGAGACCTTTCAAAAGTATTTATATTATTTAATGAGGATAATTTTATCAAATGTATTGCACCATATTTATAATTACAATGCTACCAACATTAAATTGCCACTCAGCATAAAATTTTATGGTAGATTAATTATTTTTTGAAAAAAATAGTTTTATTTTTTATTTTAAAAAGGTTGACAGTATCTGCATCCAAAAATTAGTTTTGACTATCAATTTTTTGAGTGTACTAATTTTTAAACTTAAAAGAAAATTATATTTTTACTCCTTACATTTTCATGATATAATAATAATAAAAAATATATATATTTATTGATATGTGCTAAAAATTTCATGTGTAAATTTTTAATAACGTAATTATTTTATCTTAAAATCGATGAAAAAATCAATAATAAGATAAAGCCATTATCATTAGAATAAAAGCATAAACCCATATAACTATTGATGGGTTAGATAAATAAGTAATGATACTACTACTATATCAAAAAAAGAAATTGTAATATTTATTCATTTATTAGTATTTTTTTTTTAGAAATTATTGAGCAACAAAATATATCAAAACGTATTTTTGAAGATTTAATTGAATTTGTCCAAAAAGCAATGGTGTAAATTGTAATATTTATTCATTTATGGGAAATTATATTACAAAATTTTAGTATATCATTTGAGCAAATTATCTTTTCTTAATTAAAAACTCAAAACGATAAAATCATGGAAATTGATAAATACTTATACGAATAAGCTATTTTTCAATTCACACCCAAAAGAATGAGTTAATATAATTTCACTGTTTTCATTCTCTAACAAATAAATTTTAAATTTTGAGAACACAAAATTGAATTTTCCTATTTTAATTTTTAAGAAAAATCATATAAAAATTAACTATATAATGAGCATGGTCGTATGGGATTGTTGGCTGTAGCTCATTTTACCATGAAATAATTATTAACATTAAATCATTGATTTTATAGTAAGCGAGCCATCCAAAGAAAATGAAAGAAAACAAAAAACAAAAGCAGAACTTTGGCATCGACCTGGCCAAACTTCAACGGCTCACACTCGCTTAAATCTCGGAATTTGTGTTCACATCCAACACAAATTCTCTTTATACTGTCCCTTCATTCTCGTCAACCCTTTTCTTTATTCTTTTTCAGTCAATTCATCACTTTTAGTTATAACTCTCCAAAACTGTATCTGGGTTAGTCGTATTTTTGCTATTTATTCCCTCCATAGCTCGCAAAGTTTTGTTTTGCAAACGGGGTTTTGATCCTTTTTTTGTTTTTTCAACTGGGTTTTTGGTGACTTATTTTTGTGAAAATATGATGAATTTTAAGGATTTTTGGACAAAGAAGATATTGGTGGGACTTGGTTTGGGACAATTTCTTTCGCTTTTGATTACTTCTACTGGCTTTGCTTCCTCTGAACTTGCTAGAAAAGGTTTGTTTTGTTTCTCTTTGTTTCTTTACGGACTTGTTTATATGTTATTGTCTTGTTTGCAATGAATGAATTTTGCTTTTTTTTTTTTAATTATTGTTGCATTGAGTAAAAGTTATGTTCTGATTCATTTTCATGTTTTCATTCAATTCTGAGAAACAGAATTCAACCATATTTGTTATGTGGTCTCCGCACTGTTTCAACTTTTGAACTTCCAGTTCATTTGGAGTTGTTTGCTAGAGCCTAGAAGTAATTGGTCTTCTTTTTCTTTATAAACAATCTGCAATAAGTTACATATATGCTATTGATTGGCATGTTTAATTTTGTTTTGTTATGGAACATAGTTATGTTTTATTTGTTTGAGTTCTGAGCTTTTCTGTTCTCTGTTGTTTCTATATACTATATAAAAACTTTTCTACTTATCTTTTCAATATTTGATTGGAAGTCTTGATTTTATAAATTTGAATTTTCTAAAGGTTCTTCATGAAATTCAAGGCTAAGATTTTGCTTTTACTTATTTGGTTTTAAGTTTTCTGTTCATTTCAAGTGATTGATTACCTTCACTTGCTCTTTAGTTGGTTGTAATGTGTTGAAACTGTGTGGAAAGTAGTGTATAAAATTTTGACTACTAATGAAGTTCTTTTATGTGCACATTAAAGAGAATGAGAAAATGTTCATTTTTGTGTAATTGAAATTTTGATGATAGGTGACATGCATTTAGATTTTTGATTTAATGTTTTCAGATAATCTGTTGACTTTCTCCCTTAAGTTTCTTGTTTAACTAGTTTATTGAAATTTTTGAGTGTTTGATGGTGCAAAGCTGTTATTTACCTACCTATCTTACTGTGTATTTTAGGAATTAATGCGCCAACATCGCAGTCATTTCTCAACTATGTGTTGCTAGCTATTTTCTATGGAAGTTACATGCTTTACAGGAGGCAATCACTTAAGGTATTCTCTATGGTTTGCCGATTTGGTCTAAACACCAAATATTCACTTTAAGAATTGAATGAAGCATACTAGGTTGAAATTTCAAATTATCTGCCATGAAAATTCTGTGTTAATTGCATAGCTTGCTGTTGTGGAATTACTTGATTTTAATTTCCTTAGAAACCATTGTTCATCTTGAAGGAAGTTCATGGAATGGTCAGAAATCTGGGCATGGTGATGATTGATAGTAATTAGTATTGTCCTGAAAGGAGAGCTTGAGGATGACTTTTACCCTTTCAAATTAATGTGGGAAGGTTTACATGAATATGTGGTTTCGTCATGTTAACATATAAGTTAATGTAATAGCAAATTTCTCTGTGATTGCAATGTAAGATCTGGGTTAGGATTTACTGTTCCAACCTCACCCAAAATGGGAAAATGAAATGCAAACTCTGTTTTGGGTAGTTAAGCTTTAGAACACCAAAAAATGTTTTAAATGCAAGATGTGTTGTTGAATGAGATTTGTAATTAATGATGAGAAGGAACCGATCACTGAGTTGGGTAGAAGTTAAGACCCCTGGAGGTGATATGAGCTTGCTAACTGAGATGAATTTCTTTTTGCAACATGAATCAGCATTTTATTAGTGTGAACTGGTGGCTTTGGTTCTTGAAGGATAAAGCCCCAAAAATTAATTTGATTACCGTCCACTCATTTGGTCCTTTACTTTTTGTTGTTGTTAGTATCTGAAGATTGGTTATTTATTTCTTTTTGGAATTTGTGCAGGCAAAATGGTATTACTATCTAATTCTTGGGGTGGTTGATGTTGAGGCCAATTTTCTAGGTGAGTGTTTCATGATTGTGGATATACTGTTTTTGTTATTTATCTCACATCCCTGTTTTTCTTTCTCTAAGTGTTTTGTGATATGCTGCAAAAGGAAGTTTCAACTAAATTTTTTTTTTTGTGAAATGCTGCAATACGGAGTTCAAAGGAAAACTTGTATGAAATGGTTTACTTTTATTTTGGGGTAACTTCTTTTTTTATTTCTCTGAAGCTGCTTCGAAACACACTCACACGTATACAGTTACAACCTCAGAAGAATAAACTTGGTGCATCAAAAAAAAAAAAAAAAAAAAAAAAAAAATTGTAAGGTATATGCTACACAAAATTTCTTGTATTGAAGGTCCACATCTCAGCAGAGATAAAGCAGTGCTATCTGAGCATATATATACAGCATTCTAATTTCGCTCTTAAGAGTTATTCCTTTTTTTCTTTTTTTTTTTTTTTTTTTTTTTGGGTTTTTGTAATTCATTCAATTTTCATTCCATGCACAGTGGTTAAGGCTTACCAGTACACTTCTCTAACCAGCGTCATGCTATTGGACTGTTGGTCAATCCCATCTGTGATGGTTCTTACTTGGTTATTCTTAAAGACAAAATACAGATTCAAAAAGATAACTGGTGTGGTTGTTTGTGTGGCCGGGCTTGTCTTGGTTGTGTTTTCAGATGTTCATGCTGGTGACCGAACAGGTAAAAAGGAAAAAGGAAAAATGTTGTTTCAGCTAGTTGATCTTAACTTTTTCCTAATGCTTCTTTCTGGTTTTCTTGTGTTATGTTTTATATGTGATACATATATCTTATATGTAAACAATCCTTGTCACTAAGACCTCCCGATAATCATCAAACACTTCCTGAATTCATCAGAATTTAGAAACCTTTGTTATAGGGGTTTTGTTTCCTGTTTCTGAAACTAAGAGAATCCGCGTGAAATTAAGTTGAATCTCAGGGGAGGCAAGCTCACATATATTGTAATCATCTATCCTTCAGTTCAATGTTAGAGCTACTGCTCTTATCAGAAAAGATTCTGTTGTGCCTGACCAACTATATATTTTGATATTAGCAAATGCAATTGTGGCATGAGTTTCAGATATATCGACGGATTCTCAATGTTCACTTTCAGACTGCCATTTGTCATCTTTAGCATCTTCAAGTTATTTTGATATGAATATTTTGTATGGCTTGTAGATGGGAGCAACCCTCGTTTAGGAGATGCACTTGTTATAGCTGGGGCTACATTGTATGCCATTAGTAATGTCAGTGAGGTAAGCAATTTCTTAATTTCTTGTCGGGTTAGTGGCATGATTTGTTTCTATTTCATTACCACAGATTATAATGAGAAATTTTAAGATTCTTCAGTCTATGTTTATCCCTGCACTTTCAGGATTTCCAGTGCTTTGCTTCTCCCTCCTCCATCTTGTAGTCCCTTTTTTCTTCCCTGTTCTTTAGTCTCTTTTTTGTGCTGCACCCTCCTTGGATTTGATCCTGGTGGCCATTGCTTTGATGTCTCATCATCATTCAGTGGAACTACATACATTTATGCTCCTTGCCATTAGTGTAAGGTAGAAAGATCATATTCATTGTTTTTTATTTTGAACCATGTTATCTCATTCTCTAGACTGTTTCCTGTTTCAATGTTTTTAATCATATGCTTGTTTTACGAAACTCAATTTTGAGTGCTAGTTGTTTGCTAAATCCAGCAGTCTTTGGTTCTAATCTTTGTTTGTGTAAGCACAGATCAAACTTGTACTTCCATTCTTATGTAAACTTAGAAATTCTCTTTCTCTCTCTTTGGGAAGATATGTGGTTGAACTTCTTCAGTTTTTTGGTGTAGAAATTTCTTTTTACTGGGTTTGAAGAACAACATATGATGGTTGATAGTTAGGAAATGAAAGCATTTTAGGATTTAACTAAGTTGATTTATGCCAACTACATTGAGTCAGCCACAATTTTTAACTTCAACCCTTTTTCCTCTATGCAGGAATATCTTGTGAAGAATGCTGATAGAATTGAACTGATGTCATTTTTAGGCATCTTTGGAGCCATAATCAGTGCTATCCAAATGTATCCTTGACTTAACCAATTCGTTGATTACCCCATTAAGTAATTCTGAGTTCTTTTTATGTTGATGGAACTCTCTGCTTATTTTTAGTTTAATTGTTTGTTTGTTTTAACTTAGTCTTCAAAATACCAACTTTATGCATGTACAGAACCTCATTTTTACAGCTTTAATGACATTGCACCATATTATTTATCAGGCGAAGCTTTTGAGGTTAATTATTATTCCTTTAAATGCAAATCTATTGTCAATTTGAACCCCTTAACGATGCCTGTAGAAGCATACTTGAGCGCAATGAGCTCAAATCTATTCACTGGACAGCTGGGGCTGTAAGTTTCTCCCTCTCTCTTTCCATTATGCAATTGAAATATGTACCGAGTTGAGTGACCAGATAAAAAGAAAAGTTAATATTGTCTCTGCAAACAAAATTGTTTACCAAATATGCCTAGATGTATAAATTGGTTAAAGCTTTAATATTGTGGATTCACTGACAGATATATGTTTGAACAGGAAGGAATAAACAATATATTTTGTTTTATGATCTAACGATGGTTGAAAATTGGGGTTTTCTTTTGGGTACATATAGAAATTTGGTAATTTTTTTTTCTTTTAAATTTTATTAGAGTTCAATCTCACATGCTTTTGTTCTTGATTTCAGTCTCTTCCCTTTTTCGGATTTGCGTTGGCTATGTTTCTGTTTTACTCGTTTGTTCCCATCTTGCTGAAGGTATGGTTTTCAGTTTTCTAAGATTTTTGTATTCATGATGTACTGTTAATCCTGGTAATTGTCTAAGAATATGATCCACCAATGGGGGTGAATAGCCTAAAATTGGATTCTTAAGTATTCAAACTCATGACTCTGTTGTGCAAGTGCGTATAATGCTTATATTTATATTTCCAGATTCATAAGAACTGCTTTCAGAATATTATATTCTAAAACTTGTTTTTCTTCTTTTAGATTAGTGGATCCACAATGCTTAACCTTTCATTGCTGACCTCAGACATGTGGGCTGTTGTGATTCGTATCTTTGCTTATCATGAGAAGGTTTGTAAGCTACAATTCGGTCATTTTCATCATTTCATGTAATGAAAATTGATATTTATTTAGTTTAAAATTTATCACAATGTAAAATTGCCTTTCTGATGCCAATTATTCTCTTCAGGTTGATTGGATGTACTTCATTGCCTTCGCTGCTGTTGCTATTGGGCTTATTATTTATTCTGGGTTCGTAATATTGAAAACTTTTGGTTAATTTTACAACTTTTGGTCGGTATGACTTATAAATGAGCAATTTAAATTAGTAACTTCATTTTTTTATTAAGAACTCGTTCAACGAGCTACGCCTAGGGTTTTGTCAAATGCTTATTAGGTGGAGTTTATCTCAACTCTAGGTTCTGCTCCATTGGGCTTGTAAAATTTTAGATGTTAAGACATTAACTAAGATTTGGTTTGCATGGCTTAAAAACAAGGTTGTGCCTGTTGAATTACTTGAGGATTGTCTAACGGTGGAGCCAATTTATCCTGACTGTCCAAGGAATGCGTGCATGATTTAACTAGTGCCACAAAAAAAGTTCACTTCTTTTCCAAAATGTTATAAAAATGCAGGTGTAGCTGCTTTTATAAATGCTTTTCTTGCGGAGTCATTTATTTAATCCGTGTTTTGTGATCTCTTGCATGCTGTATTCTATCCGGATTTATGTTTTCATGCAAATGGACACTTAATCATTCCTGTGATGTTTTCTACATCTAGACAATGGTCAAAACGAGGAAAAAAATGAAATAATTTTTTGCTGTTCACATTTAGTTTTATCTTTAATTTGATCGCGAATGTCATGAAGTTAAATCATTTTCTTATTGGTGAACTAGTATTATGCCTGCCTAAGCCAATTGTCTGATCTTTACTGCAGAGGTGACAAAGAAGGGGATCAACACTGTCGTGATGTTGTCAATGAAGAAGCCGAGAGAAGCAACAAGTATTTTGATGAGGAGGACAGTTCAGCAAATTGCAGAGCTATCGCTGGCAGCTCAGGGACGTCGAGAGACATTGGAGAGAAGTAATAAAGACTGAGAATGGAGAAAATCAATGATATATAGTGTTTGCTGGGAATAGGGAAAGTAAAGACTGATTGATTATATACCACAAAGCGCTGCCACTCTCAAGGAAAGTGGAAAGCACTGTTGTGCCATTCGAACGTGATTCGAATCCAAGTTAAACAATAAAACATTCTGGGGAAATTGTAAAGGCAAAACAGTTATTTTTGTTCTAATGTCCTTTTGATCTAATTATTTTTTCACCTGCCTCAATCACAACGTATGCTTTGCACAAAATTATTTTGTTGAACAAGGCATTTCTTATGTAAGCCTAATTGGCTAGCTATCTTAAATAAAGAAAGAATATTTGCATTATTAAGCAGTTTTATGGGCTGTTTATTCTCTAATTAAGTGCATGTTTCCTTTTTATTGTACTATCACGGTTCATTTGTATGTATATATAATAGTAAAAAAATTATTTCTTACAGAGAGAATTCTCAATGAAAAAGAAAGACTATAGGAAAAATGCATGTCTGGATACCAGTTACATTGCATTGACATGACACCCCGTTCGTTGTAAGGGCGTGACCAAAGTATACTCACTTGATCTCATTGAAATTATGAAAAATAAGTATATATTATTGTAGTGATTAATAATTTTGATTCCACTAAAATTATTTATATTTTATTGATTCGAGATTCCCAATTTTTTTTTCTTCACATTTTCTCTCTTTCTTAGTTCCTCTTATTTTTTCACATACTTTTATTCTTCCTTTAGTTAGATTAATTAAAATCAAGACTACTCTACTAACTACGCCCCCCTAGACTTGTAGAGGAAGTTTTTTGTCACCCATTGTATAACTATTGAATCGGTAATTAAGACGTTTGGTGATATGAATTTGCATTGACAAGTTTCATCTCCTACATTCGATTTTCCCGTAGTGCAGTTTAGTTTGCCTTGGAAATAGTATAATTAATCACTACTTTTTCTAAACTTTCTTTTACAGAAAATTGATTATGATACAAAGATGTTTAGAATGAACATGAGATGACTTTGACCAACTGATATCAACCAAAGACTGGTGTATGTTTAAACTTATAAATACAAGATTAAATGATGGATAAAACAACCTAAGCTAGAGCGTAGTGGTCAGGGTTTTAAAAACCTTTTAAACAGTGGCGAAGCCATGATTTTTTTGTTAGGGGTTGCCGAAATATATTCTTATGTTTAACTATTAAGAAAACTATTTTAATTTTGAAAATAAATGCTGATGTTAAGTAATTATTGTATTTATGGTATTCTATAAATCTTATTTTTACATAATATAAATGTTATAATGTAAGAATCAATGAATAAGGAGCTCAATATAAATGAAATATTAGGGATAAAACTGATTATATTTATAAGTGTTATCTTTTTATTACTTTTAATTGATTGTGTATTATCCGAGTGGAGTGATGTTTTAAATTGTATATTGGGGTGGTAAAATATATATAGTATAAACTAACCGAGTAATGCTATATATACAAATTATTTCGTACAAATTGATGCGATAGCCCTATATATTTGAAATATCATCTACATTAATTTGTTTAATTTATCTTTAATTTAAAATCATCAAATCACATATAATACGTCATTTGCATGAGTGAATTTCTATAGGAAGTTTGTATATGTATTATTATACAAACTAATAAATGCAAATAAAATAAAATTATTAAAAGAGAGAAAAATGTTTAAACCTTAAAAAATTGCTCTTAACTTTCATATATATATATAAATTGTTAATAATTCAATCTGATATTTGATTTTACACATGTAAAGAAAAGAGAATAAACTTTGATTAACAGTACAATTTCAAATTTCTAAATAATTAATTAATACAAAATATACCAGTTTGGTTGGGGGTAATCCCCAATTACTGAGGCTATATCATCTTTTATTACTTAATTACCATATTTAGTTGTCAATTAATATAAGATTCTAGTAATTTTTCAAAACCAATATTAATTACTATTGGTAATATAGAAGCTAATCTGATTATTTCCATTTTCTTAGGCATTTTAAGGATATTTGGTAATTTTTTTTTTGTTACAATTTTATCCATTATTAATTAGATTTTTGGACAATAATGCCTTTATTTTGAAATTAATTTACATTAACTTGCCATTATAATTTTACCCCTATTTAATTAAGTTTTTGGACAATAATGCCCTTATATTTAAAACAAATTGCAAGCCACCCAAGACCATCACTGCCGGCCAGCCACCACCATCGATAGTTGGCCAACCACTGCCTGTCGACGTCGGAACTCACCAGAAATGACTGTCTTGTGCCAATATGGATGTTTTTGGCTATATTGATGGCCAAAAATGGCAAGATGACTGTAGATTTGGCCGAAAATAGCCAGATCATTTCTGGCCGTTTTTGGCCAAATCTACGGCTTCTGGTTGTTAACGACTTGACGGCTAGATTATGGTCGTTAACAATAGCCAAATCTATGGTCGTCAATGGCCAGAACTCTGGCCATCAACGATGGCTAGATCTCTGACATCAACGGCCAGAACTCTAGCCATTAATGACAGCTAGTTCTAGCCGTAGATTTGACAATTTCCAACTAGATCCATCATAGATCTAGTATCGGCGCACAAACTGCCACTTCCGATGCCGCTAACAGTGGTGGCAGGCGGCCGGCAGTGGCTTGGGGTGAGTGGGGGTTATTTTGTTACAAATTAAAATTTTATATAAGTTGTGGTGTTTTAACTAAATCTAAAATGTTGGGGGTTAAAAAAAATTATTCAAAAATAAATATAAAAATAATATTATATTAATATATAAAAATGAGGGCAATTTAGTAATTTAAATAACATACCTACCAATTTATTCCTCTTAACCAAATATATTAATATAATATACTCACTAATTTAACATTTTCCTAAAGATTCCTAGTAATCTTCAAGGAAATCTAACTTTTCATCAATATAACATTTCCAGTAATCTAACATTTGCTGAATCAAACGCACCCTCAAGGTAATCTAATTTTTCATTAATATAACATTCCTACTAATACAACATTCTCTGAACCAAACGCATCCTAAAGGTATAAAAGTCCCAAACCTAAAATTATAAAAGTTCCAAGCCTAAAACTATTATTATTATTATTATTATTTTGAGTTTTGAGAGTAAGTTAATAGTAAATAAGAAGTTAATTTTAAGATTTTATAAAAAAATAAAAAATAAAAGAAGGTATGAGGATTTACGCTACGAAAACAGTGACGATTCTATAGTTTAGACTATAAAATTCAATATAATAAAAGACAGATGTCAACTTGTGAAACATAACATTAAAAGAATTTGCACAATAGAGACAATGGGAGAGGTGATCACTTGCAAAGGTAACAATTTGTCTTCTCTCATCATTATTGAAACTAGTTTATTCTACGATACTGATATAGTTAAACAGTATGACTCGACGAGGATTAATATCGTAGAATTTTCGTGAAAAATGTTATATTTTTTAAAGATGAACTGTTGCATATGCAGCTGCTGTGGCACGGGGTCCTGGAGAGCCTCTTTTCATGGAAGAAATCAAGTTGATCCTCCTCAGAAAAAGAAGGTTAGAATGAAGGTCCTCTACAGTTCAATCTGTCATACTGATGCCAGTGCCTGGAAAGCAGTTATGGTAATTAAACATAAAAACAGCCTATTGTATCTTTTAGTGTTTATTGACATTTGTAAACGAAAATACGAATTTTAAAGAAACATACACCCTTGGAAATAAGGCCTGCCCGGCGTCAAAAAACAAAATTCTTGCGACGGGGACGTGCCTTCTCTAGCACAAAAAATTGCACCAGCATATGGTGAGAACTTTGACACCAGATCTCTGTGTTAGGGAGCAGCGTCGGAGCATATGAGTTCTCTAATGGGGACAAACGTCTATATTCGAGAATTTTCGTTCTTAGTTAGATCTAAACATTGATTTTGTGATGTTGATGAAGGAGTTGGAGCTGCATGCAATTATGCTAATGTGCAAACTGATTCTAGTGTGCCTATTTTCGGTTTGGGGGCTATTGGACTCGCGGTAATTTCATTTTCTTCCATCTAGAAATAAAAAAAAAAAAAAATCATTTGTAATATTATTTTTACTAAGTATGTTTATTTTTATGATATTGAAAATTGATAATTATGGTATTGATTTAGATATATAAAAGAAAATACATAACTTAGATCACATGTCATTGTACCGTGAATTTACTCTAAATTTTTTCACCAGTAAAAACTATTAATAAGTACATATACCATATTATAAAGGATGTGTCATATTAAGATATTAGAGGATAATATTATTAGATAGAGTAATACTAGAAATATAAATTTATCATATTCACTTTTTTATTTATTTTTATCACAATAATTTATATAAAAATCTTCGTAAGATTTGTTTATACATATAATATTATTGTATTAAATATCTTATAGTACTAGAGGTGGAATATTTCGTAGTTTCCTTTCTTAAATCTGAGACAACATTAGATACTAGGTGTAACGTTATCATCAGTAACTTAACATTCTCTCAAAATGACACTCTAATAATTGGATTTAATTGTGGTGCGCAGTGGCTACAGAAAATAAGAGAAATGACGGGAGGAGGTGTAGATTACAATTTTGAATGTGTAGGAAATGTGGACGTTCTCCGTGAGTCCTTTTTGTCCTCCCATGAAGGAAGTTGCATAACTTTATATATGTATAATAATTCTTTAATCAGAACGTCTAAATATTAATTTATCCGGATCATACATATATATCATTGGATGGTTATAAAATAACATATTAATCCAATGAGATGAATCCAACAATGATTAAACATAATCCTGATGAAATTAATATCAGAATGTTTTGACAAGAAAATGATTCTAGTATATGTATATATACATGGGAATTTTCAAATGCCGATGTGAACATTATTCTAAAATTGAGATTTCTTTTTATTGACAATAATTAAATGTTAAAAGACAATTTTGAGTAAAATTTTAAATTCGGATCAATCTCTTTGCTACTTAAAGGAGTTCATAAGAGATAAAATTGTGCTTATATGATTAAGTGTATGATGCAACAGGGTTGGGGATCGACTGTTTTGTTGGGAATCCATGGGAGTCCAAGAATGCTTCCTTTTCATCCAATGGAGTTGTTTGATGGACGAAGAATCATTGGAAGTAATTTAGGAGACTTTAAAAGGAAGTCTCAGCTTCCACATTTAGCCCACCAATGCATGAATGGGTAAATTTACCGAAAATTATAAATGGAATTGTTTAATTTACATGGCACTTCACTTGTTTATTCTAATGTGGTTGATTGTTTACAGGTTTTGAATTTA